GTGCATCAGGGTGAAACAAACTGCCCATTGTTTCCGCCTCCACCGGGGATCGAACCGGGGCCCTTAGGACTACGACACCAGAGCGCTGTCCACTCAGCCGTTAGGGCCCCTAATATAGCCGCTAGCTTAGATTAAAACACTGAGCTTCGATAGGCTAGGTGATTAGCAGAGGTTCGGATGCTTCCGGGCTAGGCGAAATCGCCTAAAATTATATTAAATTGTTCCCTCTTGAGAAAGGGCTGGCCTTCAAGTTCAAGTTCAAGTATGTTTATTGAGACAAGAAAAAAATACATCTCAAAGGGATAGAGTAGCTTAGGCTATTTCTACCCCCCCCCCCCCCCAGGGCTGGACTTACTGAAGGAAACCATTTGGGGTGATAGTTTTCTCTCGCTTTAGACGTGAGATCGCTTAATTGTTTCTGTCGTTGGTACCCAGTCACTTGGGCTGGACGGTCGAGCTTCATGCAGGTCGGCGTTCAATCCCCGACCATCCAAATGGTTGGGCACCATTCCTTCCCAACGTCCCAGCCCATATCTTATCCTAACCCCTTCCAAGTGCTATATAAGCGTAATAGCTTGGCGCTTTCTCCTGATAATTGTCTTCCTATCGTTGGTTAGACATGCATATGGTTGAGTTTGGATAGATATGAATAGGAGCCGTGTGGTATGGGACAATAGGCCTTTGCAGATTCCTTAGTTTTTATGTTCTTATGTTATTGATAGAATACAGTGGCAATCATTTCCTTTTTCTTTGGGAGTTGATGTAAGTTATTTTTACAATTTTCGTTGTTAATATAATTTATATCACAGTTATTTACTTAAAGTTATTCTCACTGAATTATTATTATTGCATTGTCATGTTTTATATTGTATTTTTTGTAATAACATAATAACAAGCTGTTTTCTCTATTATGTTATAAATTTGGGTAATGAAGCAATAATAAACAGTATACCAATGACTATATTCTTTTCTGCACTCAGAATGCACATATTTATTTTTTAGAGAAACTCCAACCATTATTTCAAGCTGCAATAAATCTCTTTAAGCTGGTGAGCAGAACCATGTAGCGTAGGGCTGGCGTGTTACCTTGCCCCCCCCCATCCCCTCAGCTCCCATGGTACGCCAGGAGCAACTCTCAGCTCCCATGGTGCGCCAGGAGCAACTCTCAGCTCCCATGGTACGCCAGGAGTAACTCAGCTCCCATGGTACGCCAGGAGCAACTCTCAGCTCCCATGCCGGTACGCCAGGAGCAACTCTCAGCTCCCATGGTAGTCCAGGAGCAACTCTCAGCTCCCATGCCGGTACGCCAGGAGCAACTCTCAGCTCCCATGCCGGTACGCCAGGAGCAACCCTCAGCTCCCATGGTACGCCAGGGGCAACTCTCAGCTCCCATGCCGGTACGCCAGGAGCAACTCTCGGCTCCCATGGTACGTCAGGGGCAACCCTCAGCTCCGATGGTACGCCAGGAGCAACCCTCAGCTCCCATGCCGGTACGCCAGGAGCAACTCTCAGCTCCCATGGTACGCCAGGAGCAACCCTCAGCTCCCATGCCGGTACGCCAGGAGCAACTCTCAGCTCCCATGGTACGCCAGGAGCAACTCTCAGCTAAAATGTTGGTACGCCGGGAGCAACTCTCAGCTCCCATGTTGGTACGCCGGGAGCAACTCTCAGCTCCCATGTTGGTACGCCGGGAGCAACTCTCAGCTCCCATGTTGGTACACCAGGAACCCATTCTCAGCACCCGTAAGAGGACTCTGGGAGATCCCTCTCAGCACCGATGACAGTACGCCAAGGAAAAGTAGACGTTAAGCCACAGGTACACTTCCGGACTGAGAGAGAGTTGGTGCACGAGGGTTAACGCAGGAGGACAAGACCAACACACCGTGAAGGCTTCAAGGTAGTTAGGATAATATTATTGGCCGTAATGAGTGGTTTCTCTATCACTATCCTGGTCCGCAAGCTTTTAACTATGGGGGGATAGCTCCCCTCGTGTTAGTTTAGATCACATGAGTTGGTGGTAGCAGGGGTTAAGGAGGTTATGACGGGGGGAAGAGTGCGTCAGTGCTGGCTGCAGGTTACTGGGCGTAATTATTGTACGCTGTGACGTGTGTATTATCCATTAATTAGCAAGAACTGGGCACCATAAATCACGCCGGGACCGTACTCATGGGCGTGTCTCCTTGTTCTTATGATAATTTGTAAGACCAGTAGCCAGCATGGGGATGTGAGGTAGCGTGCGTGAGGGGGACTGATTACTGCTCCTCCAGCAGGTGGGGAGGCGAGCAGGGGGCCTCGTTACCTTGTCCCTCTCTATCTAACTCACTCCCTAACGTGCCCCATCATCCCTCTATGTCCCCTTCCTCGGCATACTCACATCTTTTCCACAACAGATATTGCGAAGGCGTAATGCATTGATAATTGCACTCTAATAAGATTTATGAGGTTATTTAGCTGTGGTTTTACAAGCTCCTCTTGGAAGTCAGAGTAGCTTGAACTATCCACTCTAGTGAAGGTCGGGAAATGGCTCCGTGCGTGTTGAAATTGCAGGGCCTCGTTATTTTTGTATTATATAAAATTATATAAAATAACATACAAATACGGTTGCGTATATTATATGTTTTACTTTATATTTTTTCAGTAGAGCGTTGTTGTGACAGGAAGCTGGGAGGGCCGGCCCGGGGGAAGGGGGGGCCTTCGACAGTTGCGAGAATTGGTTTATGGCAGTAAACATGTTTCTGGTGGTTACACCAACACGTTTTGTTGAAGCTGTTGTGATCAGTTGAGTTGTTTTTGTCACGATATAATCACTTGGAGAGAAACAAAAACTGGCAGTGTGTCCGCCGCCTGGTCGGGGGACCGGGCCACGGGGACGTTGAGCCCGGAAATCATGCTAGTGTATCCGCAAAGGAGGGCAGACTCAACCAGCGGAAGGTGAGGGGGTGTAGTAAGGTACCGCCCCGCTCCTGCTCAGCCTCTCCGGGCTCACCATAGCCCGTGCTACTTGGAAATTTTGATTCCCAGTAGCTGAATCTTAAACAACAACAACATCCTGCTCAGCCCCAACCCTTTCTAGGTTTACCGCGTGCAACTCCTCTCAAGAACACAAGGATACAGGAAACGTCAGACGGCCTAGTTTCCCAAACGAGGCAGATCATTTATATCCACCCAAACTCATTCATGAATATCGCTGGGTGGAAATGATCCAGTTATCCCACGTCCATTATGTTACCCGGTAATTATATATATGTGTATATATATATATATATATATTGGTGTATACTGGCAGCAGGTTTTCTTTCAAACATGTTTCATTGAATATGACCGCATATTCTGTATTTATTATTTTCTGGTTTAGGGCTTCTATCCCTCTAACTATTTTCTTAGCATCAGGGCTTATTTGAAATAGGAGTTCTCCAAAACTCATTTTCGTACTTTTAAGGTGAAGAAAAGAAGTGATTTACTATAGAGTGTATTACACTTATTTGTATAATTTGCACGACGTTTCGAACCTCCATGGTTCATTCTCAAGTGAACAGATCTTACAATACTAGTTGATTTTATACCCGCATTGCGGGTAATGCGGGTATAAAATCAACTAGTATTGTAAGATCTGTTCACTTGAGAATGAACCATGGAGGTTCGAAACGTCGTGCAAATTATACAAATAAGTGTAATACACTCTATAGTAAATCACTTCTTTTCTTCACCTTAAAAGTACGAAAATGAGTTTTGGAGAACTCCTATTTCAAATAAGCCCTGATGCTAAGAAAATAGTTAGAGGGATAGAAGCCCTAAACCAGAAAATAATAAATACAGAATATGCGGTCATATTCAATGAAATATATATATATATATATATATATATATATATATATATATATATATATATATATATATATATATATATATATATATATATATATACACACACACACACACACACGTACATATACATACAATTTCTTTCTTTATTATGAGTGACAGGGACGGTAGACAGAGCGTTCGTAGCGTGAGGATAGTGACCAAATACACTGGACTAGAGGGGGATATAGTAGACGTATAAACAGTTCATAAAACAGGAGAGGTCATTCGTCGCTACATTATGACAATTCGTATGGCTGGGGCTCAGGAGTAAGAGCTCGACCTTTGCAAGCACGCGCACACACACACACACACACACACACACACACACACACACACACACACACACACACACACACACACACACACACACACACACACACACACACACACACATTATGTTACCCGGTAACCACAGGGGCCTCGTAGCCTGGTGGATAGCGCGCAGGATTCGTAATTCTGTGGCGCGGGTTCGATTCCCGCACGAGGCAGAAACAAATGGGCAAAGTTTCTTTCACCCTGAATGCCCCTGTTACCTAGCAGTAAATAGGTACCTGGGAGTTAGTCAGCTGTCACGGGCTGCTTCCTGGGGTGTGTGTGTGTGTGTGTGTGTGTGGTGTGTGAAAAAAAAAGTAGTTAGTAAACAGTTGATTGACAGTTGAGAGGCGGGCCGAAAGAGCAAAGCTCAACCCCCGTAAAAACACAACTAGTAAAGACACACACACACACACACACACACACACACACACACACACACACACACACACACACACACACACACACACACACACACACACACACCCATCGCCTAGATCTTGGCCCGATTTACTCTGAATTACAGCATTTGTTTAACCCCCCAGCACTCCCGCCAAGCCTCGACACTCACTCCTGTCTTTAAGATATAATGTTCAAAGAAAGGACGTGACCTTAATATTGACCTGTTTTCTCCCAAATTATCCGGCTGTTCTTGGCCGGTATCGAGAACAACCTGTCAAGGTTCATTAAGTATTACCATTAGTGCTCTTATTTTCTAGACCCTTTTAAGAAGCTCTTGACATTTTTGCTGCAGATATATTACAACATTTTTGTTGTTAGTTAATACAGTTGAGCTGAAGAGATGCCATACTTTCCGTGCTGGGATTACTTGGATGTTTCGCTGTGTTGCTTCCACAGTGTCTATACTCATGGTTCCTGAGTGTAGACGGGTCGTATCATCTTTCACACCAGTGAAGAGGGCAACCCGTCCTCCAAAAATGGGGAGGTAAATGGAACAGCCCTATAAGTGCAATTATGTACTATGTATGACAGTCAGGAAATGTACTTAATACACTTAGTATTAAAACGTACTGTTAGTTCGGAGGATGGGTTGGAAGAGGGACACAGCACATGAGTGTTTCAGTTGATCCAAAGCTTTAGGGTCTTAGCTGAGAGCGCATGCTGCCCTAGACAGCGCATTGATGCCCTTGGACAACACTTGCGGTCCTGAGACAGTGCATGTGTGCCCTTAGCTAACGCATATGTGCCCTCATGTGTGCTAGAGCGGAGAGCGCAAGCACGCGTCAACTTACAGGTGTCACCGTCTTATGTATAAATTTGTCATGCAATTTATCCTAAACTCATTTCCGGATTTTGGCATTATATTTATTACCTCTTTACTGTTCTTGTTTGATCACATTATTTTGTTGCTTCCTTTATGCCAGATGAAGACAGCACACACACACACAGTCTGCGTGTAGCATTGTCCTCACCAGGGAGGTTTGTTCTTGGTGCGATTATTGTTAGTAAGACCGTACACCTTCCTATCTTGAGGTTATCTTGAGATGATTTCGGGGCTTAGCGTCCCCGCGGCCCGGTCATGGACCAGGCTTCCTTTTTATTACATACCCCCCAGGAAGCAGCCCGTAGCAGCTGTCTAACTCCCAGATACCTATTTACTGCTAGGTGAACAGGGACAACGGGGTAAAAGAAACTGCCCATTTGTTTCCGCCTCCGCCGGGATCGAACCTGGAACTTCAGGACTACGAATCCCGAGCGTTGTCCACTCAGCCGTCTGGCCACCTTTCCTGTAATGCTGGAACACCTAAAATAAAATACACAGTACAAAGACTGACTAGCTACATAGCTGTAAATATAATTCTCGTCGTGGGAGACAGGAAGTCTATTCTTAGGCATAAAAAGGTCCCCTTATAGGACCTAGTCCAAGTACTGACCTTGTCCAGGATGGAACCCCACAACAGTTTCCTAAATCGGATACCTTAACCCTCTTAAAGTGAACAGAGGCATCAGCTAAAATTAACGTGCTCAACTGCTTCTGTGCCTCTTGGGGATTGAACCCGTGTCCCTCGAGTGTGAGGAGCGGACGAAGACTACTAGTATACACCATACTGAGAGTTCCCCCGCCCTAGTCCACTATGCAATAAATCTAAAGCTGACACGATAATGGCTGGCTTTGTTGGTAATTGCATTATAATTATGTCATCGGTCTCCTCTTTATCCCTGTTCCTGTGACATGGGCGGCGCAGGGAGCGTCCACACACACGTAAAAACCCTAAATTGTAGAAGGAAATTGAATGGAATCATGCTAAAGAGAGTGAAAACGATACAAAATAAGACAAGGTTCTAAGGAAAATTGACATATGAAGACTGAACGAGGTATTTCAGAAGTTGAGATTGTAGCTGGAGCCCCTGTGCGTGGATGGGTTTCCTGTACGTAGCTGAGTTCCCTGTACATAACTGGGTTCCCTGTTTATAGCTGGGTTCCCTGTTCATAGTTGGGTTCCCTGTTCATAGCTGGGTTCCCTGTTCATAGCTGGGTTCCCTGTTCATAGCTGGGTTCCCTGTACATTGCTGGGTTCCCTGTTCATTGCTGGGTTCCCTGTACATAGCTGGGTTCCCTGTTCATAGCTGGATTCCCTGTTCA